TGAAGGAGAGTGCTGTTTCCACTTTTTGTTCACTATGCCAACAGCTTACTGATTCGTTTTGGAAAACGTCAATTCCTGAAGATGTCCGGCTTTTTGCAGCAGCAAATGGATGCAACAAGTTGCAATCTTGGCTGCTGCAGTTCAAGGTGCTGGGTTTGGTGGACCGTCGCCCTAGCCTTTGCCATGATTTGTTTTCATTCCATTTGAGTCAAAGTCAGAGGCATAGTCGTCGAGTTGTCAATATTTTATTCAATTGTCGGTAGATATTGAAACTAGACTCTAGCTCAGCCTAGATCACCCTTTGTCCAAAGCGCACCCTGCATGGAGGTTTGCAAGAAAGATGAGTGCGCGACATTATGGAACACCATGGATCTTTTCACCAACTTGCTTGACACCCACGCCAAAGTGATGAAGGCAGAGCAGAGCCTGTCCATCGAAACCTTTTCTGATGCCGTGCGATCTATGCACACATTGACCCAGTCAAAGGCCATTCCAGAATTGCGCCTGACCTTCAATGACACTGACACTGAAGGCCCGTTTTTTTGGCTTTGCAGTGGAATCATTGTCGATATGTTATTTCGCCTTAGATTCTGGACTGGACTAAACAGGGGGGGGGGCGGGGGGGGGGGCGGGAATTCGCGACCACGACCAGGCAATGTTTGCAAGTGCGCATCCTTATTGGTCAAGCTTTTTGACATGCCAAGCAAGAATGACCTGCAGGTCGCTTGGATGAAGATCCTTTTGCGGGAGGGAAAATTTGATGCCGTGAAGACAATGGATTCCGTTTGCAAGGCCCTCTTGGATTCCCAGGCATCTTCTTTCCTTCGTGCTATGACCGTGATGCTTTCGTCGCAAGAGGGAAAGGCAGCGGAGACCCTGGATGTTCAAACACAAGCTGGCCGCAAAGAGGCAATCATGCAGTATGCGCAAATTGCCACCTTCAACCTGCAAGAGATCCCTTCCGATGTGAATGGATTGGGTGATTGCGCCAAATTGATCGAGACTGTGGTCAAAGCGGCAGAGGACGCATTAGGTGTGATCGCCGACGGATTGTCTGCAGAGAAGGAGCAAGTTCAAGCCACATACAAGAAATATCAGCCTATCGCGCAGGGCGTGATGGACTGGGATGAGGCCAAGCCTTCGATTGCTAAATTGTGATTCAGCAAAAGCGGCGTGCTACTACTACTAGCCTAGCCTAGCCTAGCTACTACTAGCTACTACTAGCTAACTTAGGTAACTTTAATTAAATTGAAAGCTGTGTTGATTCAGCGCGGCGAGGAAATCATCAAAAAGACAGTCGATCCTGGTCAGTCAGATGACGAGGCAAAGAAGGTAGGGCAGTTGCTCAAAGACCGCACCAAGCTTAGCTCTTTGCAATCCAAAAAACTCGTCAAATGCCACTTGTCACTTGCCACCGTTTTTTTTCAGGCATCCCGGTGATGGATGAGCTGGAGGAAAGCTTCAAAATTGCGAAGTCATTCGATTCAGAGTTCAAGTCCAAGACCAGGGGACAGCAAAAGGTGAGCGAGCTCTACGAGAAGCTTTGCGGCATTGTGAGTCAGGAGCCTACCTCAAGAGATGTCGCCTTGGTTTTTGCGCTCTTACTCGGATCAGATGTGTGGGAGAACTACGCACACCCTCCAACAACTCCAGACCCAAATGCGCCTACAGTCAGTCAATTTTACAAGTTCTGTCAAACAGAGCTGCGTTTGCCAAAGAAGAATCTACCAAAACAATTGGTAGACCGCCTTCACAAGCTTCAGAAGGACCGGTTTTTTGTTTATTTCTTTTCATATTAAGAAATTAATATATTACACTACACTATAGTTTTTATGTACGGGCTGTTGTTTTGTTTTTTACTTTATTTTTTTTACATTGACGTCCGCAGGAAAAGTCTGCGACGCAGATGCCCCCGCCCAAGCAGGTTCCGGCAAAAGGCCGGCGAAGCAACAAATCCCAGTAGCCGGTATCCGGTAGCCTGGTGCAATGATTGCAGCTAGAGTTTGCGCCTTCGGTGTTTTTAGTATTTAGTGAGAGTCGGACGAACCAATGCAGCAAACCAAACTCTGTTTGTCTTTTTGGTGGATTATTGCACTGATCACTGATCTGATCTAATCGCGCAAGCCGTCTTGCTGCCGCAAAGCCTCACTCAGCTCATACAGTGGAGTGGTACTGCAAGCGTTACAAGTTGAATCTTGTAAAGCTGCGCTTGGGGGTTGGCTACAGTGCCGTGCTCCAATTTGCCTTTGTTGAGTGATGTGCGTACCAAAGTCAAGAGGGCGTGGGGCAAAAGCAACCTACGCACAGAGAGACAGACAGAGAGAGAGAGGACGGCTGCTGTGTTTTTTGTTTTCCCTTCTTCTTCCGCTTGCAAACAAACGCAATATGCAAACCTGGCAGGAGTATCCCGATCCCAGCAGCTACCAATCCTTGACCCCAACGCAGGTATTTGAGATTCAGAAGGAATTGTCCGTGTTGGGCCTCGACCAGCTTGCAACAAATGTTGCAACAAATGACGGCGAATTCGGAAGGCCAGCTTTTCTTTGTGGATAGCAACCCCGTAAACAAAGAAACATGTCATTTTGTGACTTTGTTTGTTCAGGCATTCGCTGTGGGCACAATCACAATGGTCTGAGTGGAAACGCTCCATCCGTCCCAGAGAGGAAGCAGTCATTAATTTGCGGTATTGGAACGCAACCAGCACAGGTGTTGATCTGGAGAAGTTGTTGGTGGACTGTGTGAAGAGCTACAATAGAAGGGCAATCAATGCGTCTGGTTTTTTACCATCGCGCCGACCTAAGTCTGTCTAGTATGACTCAGGACTCATGACTCGCGCGAAACGAAAGTAATGTAATGGCCTCATCTTTTTTGGGTGTCTGTTCTTTGGGCTCGTCTTCATAAGTTAGTTCTTCGGTTATGTTCTTTTTTGTACGTTCGTACTGGGTTGCAACAGAAATTTAGTTTTGATAGTTTTGTTTTGTTTGTTTGCCTGACGATGACAATAGTGATAGGGACTCGTACACTGTAGCACTTGCCTTGAGGTTGACGACCAATAGCCGAATCTACTCATACAAACGTGGCCGGTTGCTTCACGGCTATGAGCTTCTGGCTATGTCAGCAACCTAGACCCACAGTCCGATATCTTAGAGCCTACTTACATCAAAGTTTTGCTTCTGTGCAGGCACGGCTTCTCTCTCGACAAGTTGAACTTTGCAGGATTTACCAGGCCTTCGTTCTGGAGCCTTTTGGCAGGCCTGTAGCACACTCTGTGTGTGTGTCTTCTTGGTGTGTGTGTGTGAGCGCGTGGCTTTTCTTGGGCAGGAAACGCGATGTCCATGCCAGTGATTGGGAGCGTCCTCGCCAGCGTGCTTTTGCACGGTGACCTGGGTGACGGCCGTAAGCATTTCCGTGTTGGACTCATTCCAACTCCAACCACCTCAAGCCAGGCAACGACCCTGATCTTGGGTCAGGGTATGAGTCAGAGTGAATCATGCAGTTCGGGATCGGATTCTGACGAATCTGATGAGAACACCAATGCCGATGCCAAGTTGTGAACCCAGTGTTCTGTGTTGTTTGTTTTCCAGTGACAGCGTTGGCGATCGGTATCGGAGAGTGACCAAGACCAAAACTTAGGCAGGATGAAAATTGTGCACTCACGTTACTTTCTGTGTGTTTTTGAGTCATGTATATTATATAATGAATGGCCTGGCCCTATTGCAGCGCCGATGGGTTCCAAATTGTCCGATTCCAACCGCAGGAGGACTATCTTAATGCGGGTGATCTGATTTGATCTTGATGCGCGTGAAGCTGCCTTATGTTTCATGTTTTCCAACGCAAGCACCACCAGCGTGTTTTGCGCAAGGTTGTGTAGAGACGACCACAGACCAAAGAAACATCGACGGCAAACAGAAAGCTTTGTGAACCATCGAGCAACTTTCACAAAACTCGTAACATGACAAATAACGACCTGGACTCATCACAGTAGTTCAAAGCTGCCACTGTTCGCTTGCAATGCTGCAGTAGTGACATCTTGTCCAAGGGGGGTAGTTAGTTTCGTTCAATTCCGCTGCGTCCGCAAGTCCGCACCGCCCGTATTATGACAGAATCCGGTGGCTTAATTGAGTGGTTGCCATGGATGCTCCTAGTGATGCTCCTATGCGTGTTGCTTCTATGTTTTTTGGTGCTGGCCTGGCACATACGGCAGATGAAATCAATGCTAGCGCTTCCTCCCACTTCGCCTTCACCACAACTGATGCAACACACTGTGACTCCGACTCCGAGACCAGTAGTCCACGTGATGCACACGGCTGGCGACCCTGTTTCCAGCTCGTCCGATTGGGAAATGCCTAGCCCAAATGGAAACCACACTCGTATGGTTCGTGTGCGCAAAAAGGATCGTACACGATCAGAGTCGTGAAAATGATATGGGCCAGGGCGGCCAGGGTATGAACCTGGATGATTTGGAATTTACACCACCATTTCATCGCCGTTCATCTATTTTGACGGAATGAGATTGGCCACTGGCCTCCACAAGAGAGTGTCAAGCTGTGTCTTCGGATAGCACTGCAGGGAGGAAAAGAACAACCCCCTACCATTTGGCTGAGTGACTTTTCAAGCTTTTCTAAAGCCCTAAAACATCATGAACGCAAGATTTTATCGCCCAAAAGGCGACTCATCATAGACGTTATCATAAAAGCATAGTTCTTTTCAGAATTGGCAATAATTTTATCCATTTTTTCCTCAAACCCTGCCGGAGGTCTTGCCAGGGGGTAAAACCAGCAAAACCTTAACGTTTTATCACTTACAGGACAGGGATTGATCAATATATATATATATTATATATATATATATATTGTTGATATATTTAGTTTATATATGTATATACAGTAATACAGTATATATGTTTTTATCTTTGGGTGCACTAACTGATTGCCTGCGCTGACTTTTGTATGTTATGTTGTCCGAAGTATCCTGGTTTGACAGTTACTTAGAACTGGCAGGCAGAAAGGTCGGAGTCAGAGCCTGGCCAAGAGGCAGGGAGACGGCGATTGCCGCTGCCGTTGCTAGTCGTTTGGGGTGGCTACGTGCCTTTGCAAAAGCTCTTCCTGTCACATTTTTTAGGTTCCTGGAAAGTCTCAACATGTCGGCAGGCAGAGAGGGCGGGAGATTTTGAGCCAGCGGACCAGGAGGCTGAAAGACATACCTAGGAAAGTAAATTTGCAGAGCCTGATATGCTGTATTTCCGGAGGTGTGGTCATTCAGTCACACACTTTAGGCACAGCACTTCGCAGCGTCACTCCATATTTTGTACTTGGTAGGTAACATGGTGTCTCAGGTCTTCACACCAGCTGTGTGTATTGTAGAGCAACCTGCTACTAAGTCGGGTCAAGGACACGTCACAGCTACTTGGCCGAGGGATGTGTTCATGTTTCTATTGCAATTGCTCCGTCAAGCATTCAACGATGCTTGTCATAGCTTTAGATTGGCGAGTATAAGAATATCTCTGCAGGTGTCAGAGCCTGGGCAGTCTGAAAGTTCAGCGGACATGGTTTGGCACCCAGGTTTTGGAATTCGTTGCCGTTGGATGGGTTTCTGGGGTTTCTGTACTGGTGAGATCCACTCGGAGTCTAGAAATTTCTGGAGCCTAAGATGGAGACTAGCAAACGCTGTTTAGATGTTAAAGCAATCTTGCCTGGGAGGCTGCTTTGGATATGCATTTGAGCGCCTCTGCCAGCGGTGGATTCAACTTGGGTCCGTCCGCTCTAGAGGCTTGGCAAGGCAATTTGCGGGATCGAGCCCGGAATCCTGGATGTTTTTTTTTTTTTTTTTTTTCGGGTGTTCCACCGTTCTACAGTATAAGTCATGGTCCTTTGATTCGTTTGATATAAGCAAACCACCCAAGTCGTTCGGCTTTGAGGTGTAAACAGGGTCTCCATGTCCTATCACCCATACCTCTCTTGGAGGACTGCTACGTGGAGTGTCAAGTCGGAGTTGTGAAGCTATGACCCAGTTGAGGTGTGTAAAGGGTTTGGAGCAGCCTCAATTCAGGTTTGTCTCCTGACTGCTGGCTGTTTTGTATATATGTTAACACGCACACACACACACACAAATTAATTGATCATCATCATACCACTTGATTGGGGCTGTTGTCCTCACTAAGATCGACCAATGCGTGGAGAATGATTTGAGCAGCCCAGAGGTGCGATGGGCCTCACGCACAGGGTTGGTCAAGGCTTGGGTACCCAAGACACACACTTGTGGATCGGAAACTGTTCAGTCCTTCTTGTGCATTACTATGTTGATGGTTGTCCTCCGGGGGGGGCGTTTGTCAAGAGACTAGCATAACCGCGTGGTTGAAGTGAGAAGAAGATCCATACAAATAAACTATATATTCAACTTATATAAGCTGGCTAGGTGGACAAGAATATCCAAGATCCAGGCTGTTGTAGTTCCCGGTCGACGCGAATCAATGCAACATACAGAGTATGTCTAGGCGTAAAATGGCGTAAACACGTTGTAGGACATCTTCACAGGCCGAGCTGATTTGTTGGCTTGATTTCAACACAAGGACTCAGGTGAACTGCACAATTGTCATGTTACCTATATATATATATACTGTATATATCTTGGAGTTAGCCTAGTTCAGGCCGATGGCTGAGCTAGACCTCCTTCACAAAATGCTGGATCAAATCTGCTGCGCTTCACCACTTATGTCAGGCCCAGGGTCGCCCCCAGGCTTTGACATCATTTGCTGCAGTGACAGGGCCGCAAAGAATAGTTCATGAATCCCGCTACTTTCTGGGGAGGGGATTGTAATCCGTTTGCTTGCCTTGATTTGCTGGAACTCAAGTCGTAGGCGAGATGTTGTGGGGGAGAGTTTGGGTATGCGGTATGAAGAGCATTGGAGTTTTCATGAAAGGGGGTTCGCTTTTGTGTCTATGAGCACCAGGTCAGCTCACATGCAATTACTTTTCGTCACATCATCGCTCGTGACATTAGCGACCGCATTTTTAGCCATGAATTTTCGTGTGCATCAACAATGTGCAAACCATGTGTAACCTCGCAACCAATCGTTTCAATTAGCATGTTCACACTGAACATATCTCGACATACTAAACCTGAAAGGTTTGGTGTACCTTCCCCAACAGGAGCTCCCTGACGAATCACCAGGAAAAACAAAGTATATAGGTCTCTTGTGGTAAGACGCGGCTCTTTGAGCGTTGGAGCATTCATTGGCCTAGGAGGATGATGATGACCTCTCAGACTGCTTTCCACCTGCAGTCCGGGCCCAAACTCGGGCGAACCCGGTTGGCGGATGGGTTGATATGTGACTGTGATGTATGCTGCTATTCAATTGAGAAAAATCTGACACTCAGGTAGAAGAATCGCCAGCTGAGCTGCAGGCAAGTGCGTTTCGCCATCATTTCAATCACAAAAGACTGCAAGTACAAAGCCCACGAGTCAGGTTGAAATACTTGAATGCAATCAGAGCTGTTGCTTTTGATGCGATTGTATGGCATGATTTTCCCCAGAAGTTTGTCGTGTCACGTAGCAGTCCAAACCAACCGTAAAAGTTGTTTTGCTCTCAAAGGATAGCTGCGATGAATCGGTGAGAATACAGAAGCACTTACTGGTGATTCGCCAGTGAAACCCCTAGAAATTAGCAATGAAACATGGAGACATTCTGTACTGCACCCATTGGCCCATTGTTCAACAAACACGGTTTCCATGCTTGTTTGACTTGAAGAGTGGTTATTGATTCTTGATGCAAGTTGATTGCTTGCACTTCTTGCCATGACCCGGGCCCTGTTTTGATCAGTGAGGGTCTCTCAAAATGAATTCCCTACTAAAACCAGGAGAATTGATTGATGGTTCCCGATTTCAAGACAAGCCTGTTTGGAAACAGTGATATTATCTCTGGTCATATCCACCGCGGGATCAGAGGCCATATCTTTTTGTGCTTTTTAATTTGTTTCAGAACAGGTTGGTTTACTCTTTCTCAGGCCTCGTGGCATGTTTCAAAGCAGCTTCCATGTTGCAGGCTGAAGGCGCAGCTGCAGAGAAGGCCAATTCTGCAGAACTGCATGTAGACTTATGCATCAATTTATTGTCTTCACGCCCTATCGCTGCGTGAGCCGGCATCTACAATCTACAAGGACAGTCACAGGAGGTTTTCAGTCGCCTGCAATCTCATGCCGACCGCCATTGCAAAGTTCACGGCAATGTTGAACGCCCACAGCACATTCATTGTTGCAATGGAATGCTCAATAAGACAAAGGAACTGAAGTCTCCTTCAACGTGCCTTGCAAGTTTTGAGGACTTGCTTTGATCAGGAGAAGCTCACGTTGTTTTGCTTGCAACATTGGAATGGAGCACACCAGACGATCATTTGCCCCAAGTGTGAATGAGAAATAAGCATCCACTCAGGTCGGACCCGGCATTGAAAAGCTGATGGTGCATAGTGGTGCCTTTGCAACACTTCCAAGCCCCAAGCTCCCCTCAACACCAGAAAAGTCTGAAGCCTGTTGAAGGCTGTAACGCTGGCGCCAACGGCAGCAGCATGACATTGGTGTTGTGAACATGGCGCCGTAAAGCTGCTACTTTGGGATGAATTGCACCGATTGAAAGAATGAGCTTGAGCTAATCCCTATACCAACCGGCCTCAACATACAGTGAAACTAGGAAGGCAACGAGATGTCCTGAGTCGAACACACATGGACATTTGTTAGTGGATCCATGTCCCAGGAGATTCACTGTCATAGTACTCATTCAGAAGTGCACGCACTCAGAAACATTGTCCCATCTAGCATTTGTTAGGAAAGTGATGTTTTGAAGCGCAGATTGGTGCCCTATGAGAGCGAGATTGAATTTTCAATCGTCTAGGTGCCCCCTCCCCCTATATTCAAGTGAAGGCAGGCAGAGATGCACGAGGATGTTGAGGAGATAATTTTGACTGAGAGACAATATTCCACAGAAATGTCAATGATTGGCAAGCAAACAAAGCCAGTCCATGCCAGTCCCTGTCTTGATTGGTTTGAGTAATGTCCTTGTTTACCTCCTCGGCTGAAGGTCCTGCAACTAACAGGTTTTACATGATCAGGCTCTTGTGAATTGCTTTCACATCAACTCGAAGTAATGATTGGTGCGATATTGTATCTTCTTGTAGCTGGTCTTGCATGCCTAAGTGTTTATATGTAGATATGAAGATATGATATGTACATAGTTAATCATAGTTTGTGGAATCCACAGTTGGTAGCAACTTGCAAACAGCGCACCTCACGCTGAGCCGAACCCTCTTCTTGCACGTCCTCGTGCAGCCAGATCAAATGACCATGTAAGGCCCTCCCACGCGCCTCCCTGCCCTACGACCTCGTGCCTCAAGGTCTGCGGTCGACACAAGACCATCCTCACGGCCGATCGAGCTTTGGTTTCACATGTCTGGTTTCAAGGTTGGAAATTCACACTCCCAAAAAATCTAAAAACTATGTTTTTTCTTCTTCAAGAGGATCGCTTGTTGCATGACCGGTTGACAGCCATTGAACTCGAGTTCGATGGTCTGCCCTTTGTTTGAGCACTTGCAACTTGTCATGGAGCTGATATCGTCCCTGGTAAAGAGCGTGACGAAGAAAGTGACTCTGCATCACCTTGGTCAATGCGTCTGCCAATTGGGCACCTGTGTGAACCCATCGCAGGGCTGCACCCTCTGCCAAGAGATCTTTTATAGCTCTAGCCTGGAGTTGAGTCCTGAATTCTTGACAATTGGGCTGAGCTGTTCTTGTCACAAGATCGAACAATGATTTGCAGTCGGTGACTGCCACTGATTTGGGAAGCTGTTGGGCTAGATGGGTAGATACGAAATTGAACTGTGGCTTTCTTGAAACACCTTATGCGGCTGTTTCTAGTTCAAGTTGGGGTTCAGGAGCCATGCCCAAAATAACCTGAGCCACGACATCTGGTCGAGACTTGTTTGAAGGGACGTTGCCTCCACTGACAAGGTACTCGTCACCACCTTCTGAATTTTCCTGCAACCCCAGGACAGTGGACTCACTGGACATTGATAGTTGTCTGTGATGTCTTTGTGGGTTGCCATGATGATCATACCAGTGTGGCTTTCTGGGCTTTTTGCTGATGGAAATGAAGCGTCTGAGAACATCAAAAACCTCAGGTCCTTGACCAGGATTGGTTGGATTCGAATCTGGGTATCCTTGTACCCTTTGGCTTCATGTAGCACACGATTTGCATCATGATGGGTCTGAACAGAAGCTCGATTTATTTCACTTTGAAGATAGCTTAGTCTGCTCGAGAGGTCTGGTCGTGTGTTTGTCGAAGCGTACTGAAGGCTACCAATGAGCGCGCGGAGGCTGTGTTTCTCTTCGGAAGTGACAGGGTCTGTCAGGCATGCTCGCCTGTTTGCATTCATGTGGATAGGCTCAATTCGGGGTTTTGAGATATCTCTACTCCGGTGAAGGTGAAATGACCAGTCTTCTTAGAGCCGAACGGAAACTGTTCCTCGAGCTTGGAGATTTGCTGATCAAAATAGTCATCACCCCCACACAGTCCGTCGTCGACGTGGGCGCCGAGACAATATGTATGCGCACGGATCAAAAGGTGCTGAGACAATTTGCACCTCCTTGAGAGTTCTGTCAAGCCCTTTGTGCCATAAATATGGAGCGTCTATGAGTCCGTATGCTGATTTCTCAAGTTTACACACCTGGGCTGGTTTCAGGTTCATTGCTTTGCGAAGTTCCTCAACTGGTTCAATGGCAAGAACTCGGTTTTCCTGGGTCTTTCCTTGTAAGAAGGCTGCTCGAATATCAAAGCTCTTAATGCTCCACCCCATAGAACAAATGAGTTGGGTCAACAACATCTTTTATTGCTTTCCTAAGGTTGGGCTGTCTCTTGGTATCGTGTCAATTTGGGGATCTTGAAAACCAAGTACAACGAGTCGGGCTTTTGCCTTGTGTGTTTTTGAACTTGGTCGAACTGTGACTTCGGTGGTTGTTACCTGCTCACTGTCCAGGGGCTTCCACGCGCAAATCCATCGGCGCAGGATTTGTTCTGGGTTCAGCTGATGTCTACATATCTTGCTGACTGTTCCTGTGTCTAGCCAGTTCTTGGCAGTCCACCTGGGGTGGAACCCACCGAGATTCCAGTGCCCGATGACGCCGATGAAGAGCTCCTCTGCGACGACCTTTTGTGTGTAGAAGATATTGAATGTTCAGAGAATCAAAACGATGGATCAGTAGGATGGAAATGGAAAACGCTGGTAACCGAGGATGACGTCCAGCATTGGAAATCAAACCATCCCACCGAAGACTTCCTGTTTGTTGCCTCCAACGCAAAACGTGATCGATCAGAGGTGAAGCTCCATCAGCTATCCAAGTCAGAACAGGTGTCACCTGACCTAGACTCTTGATCTTCTATTGGTCCTTGATCGGGTTGTTCCTCTGAACTGCTTGCAGGTCTGGATTTGGTGGCACGGACTTCCGGATTTGACTCATTTGTGGCGGTCTGGATCTCTGGTTCTTCCGTTGACAAACCTTCAGTCCGGACTGGAGGATTTGTTTCCGTTGCCGTTTCCTCTATTCCCGGGATTGCGTTGAGTCTTTGAGGAATATTTAACTGTTCCAAGGCACTTACTTCTCGGATGTGTTCAGGCGACAGCTTTACTAAGTTCCCCATGCGGTTGCACCAAGCACAGTGTTGTCCCTCTTGTTGGATGACCCGGCAGGTCCGATCCAGCCTCGGGTGGAGGGCGATCAGCTTTGCAACTGTTCTTGCAAACTTCCTGGTGTATTTTTCCGTAAACGAACTGCGTGAGATTCTTCCCTCCTTAGTCTTGATCGATCCAGCAATGGCCCTGTGCTCATGGTTTCGACGGCACGTGCGCCCATGGAGGGCGTCATACATCTCTGTGGACGTTGTCTGGGCAGACATGCTTTTCTGGATGTAGAGACCTGGGACATTTTCAGTTCTCCAGCATTGCACATGTCAAAGTGAGCTTCGAGCGCTACTTGATACAATTCATGAAGCATGGGTGTTTTGAACATTGGGGACTGGCGAGGTTGCTCCCAGTGTAGATGTGTGCCTTGGCTCCTAGTGGTTCTAAGCAAGACAATGCCTAACACCAGTTCATACAAATGGGAGTCCCGTTCTTGTTGCACATGTTCGAACAGATCGATGGATCTTCACTTGAGGTGCCGATACAGGGTTCTGCTAATTCATTCAAGTCCAAAACATACAAGCCGCGTGAATTGACCTGAATGGGAATTGATCGTTTCAGTAAAGAGCTATGCAGCACGCATGCCCTGTCAAGTATCGATCGCGGCACCGATTGCTCGGAACAAAGTATTGGACAGCAGGAAAGGTATCATACCTGGCACAATGGCGATCTTGAGCTTAAGTTTACCGATTGGCGCAACTAAAGCATGATGGCTTTCAAGTGTTCCATGGCTACCAAATCTAAACTCGACATGACATGGACACCGAGATACTTGCTGTCTAACCTCTTTGGTGAGGTTGTTGATCAGGCCGGCCACGAAACAGCTTCCTATGACTGTCTTGGTGGCTCCTGTATCCACGGTACCTAGCGAATTGGACGTCGCAAAATGCGACTTGGCGTCGGTCTCAGGCTTTTGGCTCAACGTTGATTCACATGAGCTCGTCAAAATCTCTGCAAGAGGCGGCTTGAATGCGCTAGTCCTGAATTCACAATGGCTGGTTTTCTTTTCCATATCATGGTGTTCAATGTCCTCCCCCACATTGGTTTTGATATACTGGGTTCCAAAAACATGCAAACTTTGACAAAACAGGCACAGGCGTGATGGGCTCTTCTGGAAGCTGAAGAAACTCCAGTGGGAGGGCATCAATCCCTTCCTCCAAAGTCACCAGCGTCGGAGCTGTGGCAGCGTTGGCCTCATTGGATCTTCCGCGATCTGGGCATTCGGCCTTCCAGTGGCCACGACAGCCGCAAAGTCGACATGAGCTTTCAAGGATCCTTTGTTGAAGGGCCTTTCGATTCCCAGAGTTGCGATACCCTGAGGAGCCTTTCTTGCCCTTCTCCCAGCCTTGTCTCGAGCTGTGCCGTTTGCAGTACTCGACGGCCAGAATCCTCTGTTCTTGAAGCGGTCAGACAGTCGTTTCCTGGCCTCAGCATATGTCGCTGACGACAGGCTAAGTCTGCATCACCCAGAATTGCATCCAACATCGACTGTTCATAGTCCAAGATCAATGCTGCGTCCTCGTCACCCTCATTGGCCAACTGCTCAAGCATGTCCTCTTCTGTCCAGACCTCAGCCTGAAACACGGCATCTTCTTGAACAGAGTCTCCTCCCATAGTGTCATGGGCCAGGAATGCATTGGCCTCGTAGGTCTTTGTTCGACCTCCAGTGACTTTTCCAGCACGCACCTCTTGGAAAAACTTGCTGCCGAGCAATTTGAGGTTGGAGACAACATCTCTGTAGTTCAAAGAGCCCGATGACTCAACGATCAACCGCTTCTTGTCTTCGGCGCTCAGGGCGGAATTCCGCAACAGGATGTACGCTCGGAACTCATTTCTGGCTCTCTCAAACCTCTCAAATTTGCTTTCGAGGTTCGATTTCTTCCAGATTCCTCCGAGGGCCTCCACGATGGCCTTCACCCCCTCCAGGGAATTGACCCTCAAAGACTTGGGATCAAGGCGGGACACCCTCTGGAAGGATGATCCCTCACATTGGAGAGCTATGCGAGGATCAAGGTGTTGTAAATGCTCTGGTGGCCAAAGCTCGACCTTTCTTGGTTTATTCGGTCAATCTGTTTCGCCAGGCTGGAATTGTGGCACCTGATTCCATGCTAAATGGCTCAGGCTTCCCCCTTCCTGAGGATCCAGTCGAACCCCCTTCGTCCCTGGAACCGCTCATGGTGTCAAGCTGTCAACTGAAACGCCACTGCAACAGTGTAATCAATGCAAGCACCAACACAATGAGCAATGTCCACACGACACAACTCAATGTACCAATGTTTTCAACGACTTGTCAACTCGACCAATGTACACGCTGCGACCTCACAAGCCAATGTACAAAGTTTCAAGTGCAACTCGACGTCAAGCCAACAAGGTCACGCGCTGCAGTTCTCTGACAGCTGGAGCAGGAGCGGATGCTCCGCTACCAATGTGGAATCCACAGTTGGTAGCAACAACTTGCAAATAGCGCACCTCACGCTGAGCCGAGCCCTCTTCTGTTTTCCGCCGCCTCTGCAAGAACGAATGCCGGTGTCCTCGCCAGCTCAAATGACCATGTATAAGGCCCACGCGCCTCCCTACGACCTCGTGCCTCAAGGTCTGCGGTCGACGCAAGACCATCCTCACAGCCGATCGAGCTTTGGTTTCACATGTCTGGTTTCAAGGTTGGAATTCACAATAGGCTTATATATATATATATCGCGAAATAGAACTGCAATCCCTCTCAGTTGATCGGGACACAAATACCGTTACCAGCAACATTTGCAAGCCAAGCCGTCAAGCCTCAGACCATCCCGAAAGCCATCCCAAACACCATTTGGCGCTTCACAATTCACATGTACTCAGACACCTGGCAAAACCCATTCTCCGGCCATTCACCTACGAAACCTCACCGCGAAGTGGTAGATTTTCATAAAATTCGCAAACCCCGGTCACCTCCCGCTCACTGCTCGTGAAAGCCTTTGAAACCAGCATGGCACAGCATGGCTATCCAAGGTGTTGAGTCTACTCTTCATTCGTGTAGAATGATACATTTGCAACCTTACGACTCATTCAATTCTTTTGTGGGACAAGATGAGAAGACAGGGCCGACTAAGCCCACACCAGAGCCACACTCGAACAAAACTGGACAAGGCCTGGGCCTGGACAAGGCCCCAAGAAGGCTGAGAAGACAGGGCCCACCACGCGGCCAAGCAGCACAACCAAACAGGTCACGCAAACCCGGTGGACGGCAGGGCCACGGCTGGCCACGTAAGAGAACACCAACATTGACTGGGCCTGGCTTGTAATGTCAACTTCGGATTAATCTGCCCCCCCCCCCACATAGAAGGTGGGTAGTGGGTAGTGGGTAGTAGGTAGTAGGTAGTAGTAGTAGTAGTAGTAGTCACAACAAGTTTAAACAAGCACAAAGAAAAGGGCAGGGACACAGGATCAAATTAATAGGGGGTAGTAGTGCAGATTATTGATGGGGGACCGGCCCTTGTGAGGGGTACCCTTTGTGAGCTTGTCAAATGATTGTTTTTAATTGCTTTTTAATAGGGCAATTTATAGGCCCTGAGCCCCTAAGGATTTCATCAAACGTGTAGTAGGTAGTAGGTGGTGATGGTCGTGGTAGTGTTGGTCGTGGTAGTAGCAGTAGCAGCAGCAGTAGCAGTAGCAGTAGCAGTAGCAGCAGCAGTAGCAGCAGCAGCAGCACCAGCAGCAGCAGCAGCAATAGCTAGTAGCAGTAGCAGGAGCAGCAGCAGCAGCAGGAGTAGTTGTAGTATCAGTAGCAGCAGCAGCAGCAGCAGCAGCAGGAGGAGTAGTAGTAGTAGTAATACGAAAAATTGCCCTGGTTGTGGGCTCGGATTAACTGGAGGGGATTGTTGGTAGAAAACTAGACGATAGGGGGGGAAATCAACAGCCAATAATATTTTTAATTTGGGCAATTTCCGGTGGCTTTGTGGGTTCGGATTAACTAGGGGGGATTTATTAATCCTAACTTGACATTATAAGTGCGCGCGCTGCTTCTGATTCCTTCTTCTCCAGGCTCTTCCGGCCTCACTTAATTTTCCAAGCAGTGGCTTTGGGTAAGGTTTCGACTGTCTTCTCTTGTTCCCATTTCAGCTTTGCTTCGCTTTCTGTTTTCTAGTTTTTTGCTATCCCGGCACACGGGGTTCTTCCAGGGAACCAGCAAAAACCATGCAGCCTTAAGCTCCAGCAAGGAGGTTGTTTGTTCAATGCCAGAAGTCGAGCGCTCACCCTCTCCACCGTCCACCTGATGTCAGATCCCCATGACACCGAAAAGGTCTTCTCCCTGTTTATGTTGCTGCCTCACGCTTTTGCCCTTGGCCATTCTCGTAATTGAGGGTGTTCATATCGGATTGGTTTAATACAAATTTAGTATTTGGTGGGCCATTGTTTGGGGAAGCAAGCAGCCAGGTTACTGTTGCTTTGTCACCAGTGCCAGTGTTCCTGGGCGCAGAAGCAGCACGCAGCCAGGACCGCTTTGCAAAAGTCCGATTGAAAACCGGTTATATCAGCTATATCTGTGGCTCCAAAATGGGTGGGTGTTTCCCGTTAGGTCCTGACGTTTCTGCAGCTGATATACGTAGAGGTCATGTGAAGCCAATGTGTTCTTTTGAGATGTTGCGGGTTGTCATGCATTGTGCTGATTTACAATGTGAGATGGTGAAGTCTAGTGTAGTGCTTAGTGATGTGGTCAAGTAATGTAGGAGAGTGTACGAGTGTGTAAAGTGTTGATTTATGGTGTCTTGAAATGTCATGAAATATGTGAATTCGTGATGTGATGAAAGTGCACTGAACTGATGTCGTGTTGGTGGATTGTGCTTTGGAAGTTGTTTGTTGCAAATATAGGTGACCGAATCCAGTTGCCTGTGCCTTGCAAAAAATGCCGCAGGAGGGTATGCCTTCAGAGTGGACTGGCTCGGAGGGTGTCAACAGCCCAGCAACAATACTGTGGACAAAATGTTTGAATACGTGAGAATCGGAGACTTTAAGTGACAAACAGAGCAGACTTTGTGATCCACAGAAGCTGAACTTGCAAGTTTAGGAGGGAACACACTAAACCTGTTTGCCTGCGATATTAAGGAGCTTTCAAAGGCGTCCTCCTCTTGCGATGGGAGCCCCAGAACTCACACTGCCAGACTGACCCTCAAGTGTTAGAGGAATCCTCCACACGTTCCCTCAGTGAACTTGAGGGCACAAATGTCAGGCTGATGATCCTCAGAGATGGGAGGTGGAGGCCAAATTGACTGTGAAGACTTTCCTTGGTTTTTGCTTGGATTTCATGTTGTAACACTGTAATGGGGATGGACTACAATGAAATTCTGGCTGAAACATGTTGCTACTGTATCTCAATCTGTCAAGTGAGGCTTTGAGTGCAACAGTAGGCAGCCAAGCTAACTGTTTGGAGGCGGTGAATGCCATTGAAATGCCTGAGAGCAACGTGGTTGAGGTTGGTTTTGTCACTTTGGCATTAGAGGTGTGTATAGCTTACTGAAGAAACACTGTAAGCACCACAGAACTTCCGTTTGGATCAGTTGGTTACTTCGGACAATGTCCAGCTGCAGATATTTACTTTATGTTACTTTCAGCGAATAACTTCGGATTAATGTTTCCTTTGCACCAAGAGAGGAGTTGTTGAAAAGCTCGTTTGTATAGCCTCGGCCCCGGATGCCAAATCATACAGGACGAAGGACGCGCCGAAGCAGCAGAGGCAAGCAAGGCCAGTTGCTTTCCAAAGAGCAAAAACTAAACAGAGTGCACCCAGGTTTGAATGAGAGGAGGGAGCTTGAGCATAGTTGCGTTATGTCAATGTCAGCGACTTGTTCTTAGGCAGTGAATCTGGTGGATGTCCAACAATTCTGACCGAACCATGGTGTCAGTGGTTGTGAATTCATCATAAGACTGGTAGCGCTGTTTCACTTGACTTTGCACGTAGATGAATTTACTGTGACTTTTACCGCAGCCGGCTTGAGCTAAAGGCCAAAAGTTTTCACATTGGTAGCGGAGCTGTTATGAAGTTCCACTGAGACCTCTCGGATCTCAAATGCACCTGCTATTCCGCTAGCAGATTCTGCAGCCGTCTCAAGCGTTACGTGCTTGAGAGCCGTTTGTTGCTGAAGGCACGGATGGCGGCATCCACTCTGCGTTACGAGCAGAGGGGCTACAAGGTCCAGGAGACGAATTCTGGGGTTCCAGTCAACGATAGAAGTCCCAGTGGCTTCCTTGAGCGGGCGTTTAGGACTCTTGCAAGGTACCACTCAACAGAGGAGACCGAGCTCTGGAAGCTTGGCGGTCGGCTGGTAAAAGGGCTCACTGGAGAAGCCTTGAAGGTGCCATGGCAATGGGTCACAAGAAGTTGGGTGAAGAGACAGCAGGTCCCGGTGCTGGTTAACAAGGTGAAGAAACACATATCATATGTTCCCTTTGGCATCAGCTGAGGCGAGAGAGCTGTACAAGATGGGTCAAAGACCAGGAGTACTCAGTACTCAGCCGACAAGATGGTGAGTCAATGATCAGCTATGTAGAGCGCAGAAGGCGATGGTGGGGCATGTTGCAAAGGCTGGATCCAAAGATACGCCTCTCAGAGACTTGCTGGGAGAGCTATTGTTGGACCACTCTGGACTGTCTCCCACCGAGTGCCTGATGGTCATGACTCCCACGTTCAACAACTTGGATTTCGATGTGGTGGCTGAAGCACTCATCAAACAACTTGCGAGGCAAGTCACGAGCTGGCCAATGAAGATTGGAATGGACCATGGGAAGAACCTGAAGGGTACCCACAGGACAGTGAAGCATGGATGGGAACCTTGGCACTATGACGATGGATATCAGGATTATTCCTCCTATGGCATGGGCGAGACCTGGGATGAACCTGTTCGATGAATTCAGCTACGAAAGAGCCAATGAAGTCGAACTGGCCTCCACTATCCAAGAAGCCTACCTCGCCGGTAACAGCAATGATGGCATGGAAAAGGCAAATCCAAGAAAGGATTTATTTGGCAAGTCCTATGGCAGAGGAAATCTCAGCCTTGAAGATAGCAGACAAAGGCTGGCAGAGTTCAAGAAAAGGACTGAACGCCAAGCATGTGGACAGAACGGACAGTGGGCTGGTGACAAGGAATGCCCATCTTAGCCGTGAGGAAACAGCCTGGAGGCGACAGCGATGATGGTATCATGCTTCCCAACGAAAGGAGGTCTGGCACCTGCTGTATGCATCAAGGATATGACCAAACAAGCAGTACGAGTACGATGCATGTCCTCACAAGATCTGGGACTGGAGAGGAAGTTCAGAAAGCTCCTTGGACAAGAGCAGCAATGAAGAAAGTTGCGGGTTGCGATATGAGCGTTCGGATGAACGTGGCCGTGAAATCACATTGAGAGGAGCATCGCAACGACGACCACGAAGCCCAGAGACACCACCAAACGGTTCCAAGGGACGTGGCTAGCCCAAGAGCAGATCAGGCAAGGCAATGAAGGGGAAGTTTAAGTACTACGGCCACGAGCGAATGTCCCTTGACGGGATCAAGAAAGTCTTGGTCCGATTCCGCGACGACCACCAGGACAATGGACGGAAGCCAAGAGGAATTTTACTTCTTGGTACATGGAGGACTACGCCGTTAGGGTGATGGTGAAGAAACGGGATTTCTCGGATGAACATCACTCCTGAGAGCCGCAACTGGCGGAAGTTCACTGCAGTGCTCCAAGATGTGGATGATGTGCGGTGCCTTACTGAGGCTAACACGACATCAGACCACGAAGAGGCGTATGAGGGTGAGACGCCAATGTTGCTGGTGGCAATTTTGGCGCAGCCATGGACCATCAGCGGAGGAGGATGGTCCTTCATTCCGAGCCTTCTAGCATGTCGCCATGGCGACTGGGGCCTTGAGTCTGAACAGGTGGATCGGGGCAAGAAGGTGAAGGCAACACGTGCACATAAGCACCTAGCACTTCTCATTCTGTTGGGTTTTGCATGCCCCTTGGCTCCAACAGGACACAAGATCATGGAGATCACGGACGACTCCTTGTTCAACGGCCTGATGACCTCAACAACAACTTCTATCAGCATGTCACTGTGATTAAGGGTCTGGGATACGACCAGAAGCAAATGATGGCTGTTGCGGAAAGCGTTGAAGGCTTGAGCGCCTACATTGCTACATCACACCCGAATTTGGGGAGGACTGCAACATGATCTTGGATATGGCATTTGCAGGTGGGGCGGATCTGGAGACATATCTATCCACGGCAGTGGTGAAACCCGACCCCTGAAGGACTGGGCTGAAAGAAAGGACAAATATATAGAGCGCCAAGAACCAACAACTGTGGAAGACGCTCCACAGTGCCCAGCATTCCAGAACGCACTGGAAGAAATGTTTCACTCAACTGTGACATTTTGTGACTCATTTCCGGCTGAGATGGAGGAAGATACATTGCCACTTGGACCTCTCGATGTTCCAGAGGAAGAAGAAGAGATTGGAGATGAGTTCCAATCAAGGAACTCTTCAAGCACGAAGAGCAGATTGAAGAAATCCCACTTCCTAACCTTCCAAAGGATGAAAAAGAAAGACGTGAGCAGTGGATGGCGTTACCACAAGCCACGCGCATCGCTGTGCGCAAAATGCATCGCCGATTTGCACACGTTGCACCACGAGCGCTAGTGGAAATCCTCAGAGCATCAGGAGCCAAGCCAGATTTTGTAAAGGCTGCACGAATCCTGACATGTGAAGGATGTGGCGCACATAAGCCAAGGGCGCAAACAGCAAAGGTGAGTTATGAAGGAGCTGTTGGAGTGGACACGCTTGAAGTGAAGGACGCAGCATCTTGTCCATGGTTGATCAAGGCACATGTTTTTACCTAGCAACGATAGTGCGAGTTGGAGGAAGTCAACCAAGCTCCAAGATATGTTTGGAAGAAGAGAAATGGTCATCTCGGGCGAGACAACCGTATGATGTTGTAACCGACAGAGGACTTCACAATCGTGGAGAGTTCGCGTCTGGGCTCGCATCACAAGGAACGATCATCGCAAACATTGGAGTTGAAAGCCCTGAGATGCTTGGACGAACAGAGAGGCACGGCGGATTGCTGAAGGCAATGGCGATGCGAACTATCGCTGAGTTGAATCTTGCTGGAAGAGATGCAATTGCAGAAGCACTATAGCCAGAGTGTTATCACAAAGAACTTGATGTCGCGAGTGAAGGGATTCGTGCCAGTTCAATGGGTTTTAGGAAGAGTGCCTTGAGAGCCAGGATCTGTGTTTGAAGAAGATTCTTGGGCAGATCTCGGAGGCACAACTCAATTGAGGAAGTCACCCCCGATCCAGAAGGAGTACGGTGTAGGAGATTTGGTCTGCTTCAGGACAGATCAAAGCAGATGGTCAACAGCATGCAGATTCATCGGACTCGATGGCACCAAGCTGGTATAGGTACTGCACCGAGGAACACCAGCCTGTGTAGCTAGCTGTTGATAGACTCCGACCTGTGAACGCAGCCGAAGCATTTGCGCATCAATTCCTATACAAAACCAGAAACCCTTCGTGTTTGGAGGTGGAAATCAGCAACAAGGCTACCACGGCAGAGTCAGAGATTACAGAGTTGGCAAAGCAGAAATGGAGAAAGATGAGGCGCGAGCAGAAGGAAAGTGCAATACAGAATCCTGAAGAAGAAGAACTGAGAGCCGGAAATGACTAGAATGAAACATGTACAGAACATGAGAGACCATGTACAGAGCAAGCGAAACCAGAGTCACGTGTGTGAATTCACCATAAGACTGGTAGCGCTGTTTCACTTGCCTTTTGCATGTACATGAGTTTACTGCGACTTTTACCGCAGCCGGCTTGAGCTAAAGGCCAAAGGTTTTCGCACCTGTTGTTTTTGTTTGTGTTCTTGTTCTTCGTTCTTGCTTTTGTTCATGTTATCGTTTTTTGTCTCGTTCTCGTTCTCGGCGTCGTCAGGCAGAAGAATCTACTACTGCGCTGGATGCAAGAATTGATGAAGGGGCAGATGAAAGGCGTGATGAGGTGCCAAACCGTTGTTAGAGCCTTTTTGGCCTGTAAGATACTGCAGATGTTGCGAACCTTCGTTTCACCAATGGGTTCTGGTTGACCTTTTTGCTATTTTTGTTCGAGCTATAACACGAAATATTGAATCTTCACGGAGGCAGACAAAGCATCTGAAACTTCGGAGCCTCTTGAAAACATCGAGGCATGCGTTGGTGCTCTACAGGATCAAGGAATGTCAAAGTTACTCAACTGCTGTAATGTGTTTTTGCCTTTGCCGGACAGAGTGTGTTTTTTTCAGGATGCCCTTGGTTGTTGCAAAAAGCGGCACTCATCACTCATCAGTATTTTAGTGTTTCAACAGACAGATGAACCAGAATCGTTTTTTGTGTTTCAGATGGACCCCACAAAGCTCAGAGGAGCTTGGCGTGGTTCGGGCCCTGTTGCATGTCACACTTGATGCAAGAAAATTGTGTCAAAACTGCGACTGTCAACTGCCGAGGACCGGGCAAGTGTGAATTGGGTCACGATTAAGCACAAACTCTGTGTGTGTGTGCGCACACGCGTGTGTGTTGACGTTTTCCTTCTTGAGATACAAACCTGGCCCAGGTGAGAGCGTCTCGCCAGAACGTAGGACTGAGACTTGGAATTGTCCGCGTAAGTGGGGACGTTGTTGGAGCTCTGTGCTTGGGAACCAGACTGCACTTGCCATGTCTCAGGCGATGCAACTGTGTTGCATTTCATGACACCGCCAGGACAAATTCTGAAGCGCTTTGGCATATCCTAAGGCAAGGTGCCAGACAAGTACGTGGTTACCCTGCAAAACTGTTTTGAACACATGGTATGAATTACAAAGTAACTAGGGCGCAGTGCAGGGTAGTGAGGAGTCCTCCAGCTCACACAAGAAGAGCCAAGTTAATCTGTTAATCTATGTTGCAAGATTCTACTAACCTTTCAAAGTGTAGATCGATTTGATATTGTTCCTCAGGAATAGCAGAGAGGATTATATAGTAAATATTCAAACTTTATCAGCAAACTGTTGTTGCGTGAAAAGCAATGGTTCAATGGCACAGGTGCCCTGCTCACCCAGTAAACGAGTTGTTTTGCAGACTTTGGGGTCCTGTTCGGGAAAGAGAAAAATTGACATAGGAGTTTGCACATCCTGTTGTCTATTAGATGTGCTTTATTATTGGGGATCCAGTGCCAACTGAAGAAGCGTTTGCTAGGACCAAGCCTCTGCGACCGCCAAAGTCAGAAGACAACTACGACATGTCTTCTGCGGTGAGCCCACGTCGCGGAGCGAAGTTCAGCCGATTTCTTTGTTTAAAGCTCGCTCCTACTTCATTAAGTAGGCACCTACTTGATTATCGTAATTAAGTAAGGGTGTCGAAATGTATAGTCCATATATGCTCCGCTTGTACAGTTCTGACTAAGGACTTCATGTATGCTTTGGCTCAAGGAGAAAAGGACGCTCCGTAGCGTCGATATCATGTTTTGATGGGTGAAAGTGAAAGTAGCAAATTCGAACTCTCCTGAGCCGGCACCGAGAGCGGCCGCTTCGGCCGCACCGGTGACCGAGCCTGAGGAAAAGGAGGAAGAAAAGAAAGAGGAAGAAGAAAAGAAGAAGAATGTTTGCCTGAACAATTTCCTGAGACCGAGATCACCAAAGAAAAGACTGAAGAGGAAAAGAAAGAGTCCGAAAAGGAAGAGAGAGAAGAGGGCTTGGAAGAATATACCCCTTCACAACCTGGTGATCCTGACCGAGCGGCTGATCCAGCCGAGTACGAAGAAGAGCTGCCATTCGTACTCGGGGACGAACATACAGCACCAGACGGAACACGTCACAGCTGGGAACTTCAGTCCACCAGATTGCACGGCAAGGCAGACAAGGCAAGTGCAACAGCTCCGTGACGCCAAGCGACAAAGCCAAAGAAGGTACAAAGGTTTGATCGGCCTGAACAGACCTCTGAAAGAACCGGGCTTAGGCTTAGATTGAGAAGCCGCGTGCCACTCCAGTACCGGAGGTTGAAAGACTGCATCAGGCTCCAAAGCTAGAAAGGAAGACTTACAAAGGAGCTCAAAAAGAAGTCAATGAGCTCGGCCGAAAGCGGCTGCAGAGTGAGATCAAAGAAGAGCGTGAGGAGCAGAAAGAGCGGCACAAGGTATGAAGAGCCGCCAAGAGAGATCGGGCAGAGGAGAAGGCAAAAGAAGAAGAATGTCCTCCCGGCCGCGGTCGCTCACCTTTGCGACTGCGGCCGAGGAGCCCTACAAGAGAAAGGAGCCCGTTGCAATTCGAGATCCATGGGCCGAAGCACCGCCATTCAGCGCGGCGAAAACAACAACACTGTCGGACAAGCGGTGTGGGGAAGGGCATTGAAGCTCAACGCCCAAATTCAGGACCTGGCAAACGTGGCAGCTCGGGAGGAAGAGATCCCGAATTGGAAGCTGGGGTCACCGTTCCAAGTCCGCAAGATCACAGCGGACTATCTGGTGAAGAAGCTGCGTGGGACAGTGGCTTTAGAAGCTACTCGACGGCTGTCGGCCAGCCCGCCGGGCCAGGAGAAAAGAAAGGAAGCGGTCAGGCCTGCAGCAGCTGCGACGAGAAGACAGTGCTGTCGAAGCCAAGGACCGTCGAGCGCATAAAGGCCAGAGGGTTGAAGGGCAATCCTTTGCAGCTGACTTGAGAAGAGAAAGCGGCTGTTGCGAGCGCACGGGCTAAAGCAAAGCTGTAGCCAAGAGGAACCGGCCATTGGAAGACGGCCAGAAGAGTTGGCTAGCAGCGGGTCGCGGCTCCGAGAGACCTTACAAGTCTGCTCAGTTCTCCGACTAGATACTTGTCACGTAGCGGCCTGGTGAAAAGGCCGACCGAGACGGACGATCGCGTCCGTGGGACTGTGACAAGGAGTGAGTTATTGTGGCAGCTGGGAGATTTGGGGTAGAAAACCATGGCTTTGGAACAACAGGTTCAACAATTGTCCGATCTAGTTCAACAACTTCAACAAAACCAAGTGAGATTGGAACAAGAAAACCACAGTTTGAGGGAGAGTCAAGGAGGTGTAGCAAAAGAAGAACGAAAGCAAGGGGAAACAAATCGTGGTAGACACCAAAGGTCTAGGAAAGCCGGATCTATTTGACAACACGGAAGATCACTTCCGGAGATGGGCACGATCGATTGACAACCTCTTCATTTCTGTTTTTGGACATGAGTTCATCAAAGTTTTGGAATGGTGTTTGGAACAAGAAGATCAAATCGAAACCAAAATGGTTGAAGACGAGTTTGGAAGTGGCACAGTGAGTGCAATCGAGGATCTAGCAGACAAAGCCGTCCAGATCCATCAAGCGTTGTTATCCCTCACTTCCGGAGAAACGGAAGATCTCATGATTGGTGCACCCAATGGTTTTGATGCCTACTGACGAGCGCATAGAAGATGGGACCCACGCACATCAGGGAGAAAGCGAAACATCCTGCAGGCTATCTTGGCACCAGGGCGAGTGAAGAGCTGGCACGCTGTCAGACCAGCGATCGAGCAACTGGAGGAGCTGGCTCGCAGGTATGAAGCTCGGCGAAACGCTGCGGGAGGTTTTGTCAGATGACATCAGAAGCGCGCCCATGGACATGTTGGTACCCCCAGGTCTTGAAAAGCAAGCATTTGTTATTCAACAAGGGTAGGTTGACATCATATGCACTGATCACAAGCAGGAGGCTCCAAATCATCCATCCCAAAACCAGGTTCAAGCTCGAGTTCATATCAAGGACCCCAACCAATGGGCGTAGACTCAATAGGACAATGGATCGCTAGCCTGGGCAAAGGAAAGGGTAAACGAAAAGGCAAACAAGGAAAGAGCGACGGAGAGAAAGGCTCAAGCAAAGGAGGCTCAAGCACAGGCTCAAGATATCACTTGTTACAACTGCACAAAGAAAGGAGCGGCCGATTGCTGGAGGATGGTAAAGGTCAGGACAAATCATCAGGCTCAGGAAAAGCCAAAAGCAAAGGTAAAGGTTCAGGCAAGAGCAAAGGCAAAGGCAAAGCTGCAGGTAGTATAGCAGAGGTAGAGGATCAGGACGCAGGCACCGAGCCCACACCTGAAGCGGATGTCGGAATGCTCACGGCAGCCTTGAGTGGGATTGGAATAGCGGACGCTTCGTCTGCCAGCGAATGGATGAAGTTCAACTTGGACACTGGAGGAGCCAAGACGGCCATCCCAAATGGTCGGGAGGACAGAGTCACTGTCAGTGACGGGGTGGAGTTGTGTTCAGAGACAATGTCTGAAAGGGACAATGGCTGATGTTCACAAATGATGGCAGAACCAAAGAAGCGCGCCGGGGAACTTCCACCGGTTGCAAAGGTTAAGCCAAACCCAGCGCAAGGAACAAAGCAAACGGCAGAAGTGGACGTAGAGAAGCTGGAAGAGGGCACAGACCCGTTCAAGACCGTTCCAGAGACGCCGCCCATCGGGTGGAGGCCAGCTTCAGGCTTGAACCCAACCAAGGAAAAGGTATCATCCAGGAGACGTACTCAGCAAACAACCTGAAGATCACCAGTGGCGAGGTGGCTGACATAGCACACCTGTGCGCCCAGATTGCGGCGGTCAACGTGATGGAGCTGTATTCGCCGAAGCGATTTACAGCGCTGGCCGAAAGATACAAGCTACGGCCAGGATTCGCCATCGGCCTATGTGAGGCGAAGGCTGGCGGAACGCATTGGGACTTGACTCGACCCAGTGACATCCAGGAGACGCATGACATCCTGGATCAGGATGAACCAGCTCACAGGTTCATTCACCCCCGTGTCACATGTTCTCTCAACTCCAGAACCTGAACTGGAAGAACGTGGCACTGGATGTGAGAAGAATGAAGATGGATGAAGCAATCCATCACTTGCGCAGAAGCGTTGAGCTGTACACTAAGCAGCGTCGCGCTGGACGCAAGTTCCTTCATGAAGCCATGGGCCGCAACAAGTTGGAAGGATGGAGTGTTCGTGGTCAAAGGACCAATGTGCATGGCAACAGACGAGAGAGGACTCCAAGGTACAGGGTATGTCCGGAAAGAAACTGGATGGATGACCAATGATGAAAACTTGACGCAAACCTTGGAAGGTGTTAGCTCGGATGAGACGGGCAAAGGACCATGGCACAGGCACACCCACTTGGTAGGAGGAATCGCAAGACAAGCAGCGGTATAACCGGCGCTGGTGAAAGCAGCACATGGAGAAAGGCGAGCTGAACGCTTTCGACATGTTCAATACCAGAGACACTGTTTGTAGACCCAGAGTTCGAAGAGATGTGGATGGAGGATGTGAACGGTGGTTTGAGAAAGTGAAAGAGGCAAGACACCTAGAGACGGACTTCTTGAAGGTCAAGCATGGCGTCTATGTGACAAGGCCAAGAACAGTGCGCTTTGAAAAGACGGGGTAGCCCCCGATACCAGTGAAGTGGTTGGACACCGACAAAGGTGACCCAACAAACCCGAACTATAGGAGCAGACTGGTAGTGCGTGAGACCAAAGCTCCCATGACCAAGGAAGGGCAGTTGCCAGCAAACTTACTTTTCAGCAGCGCGCCGCCCTTAGAGGCGATGAGACTGCTATGCTCGTTGTGGGCAACAAAGAGAAAGTTCTCGCCACAACCAGAAGCTGAAGCTGGGATTGCGGGACATCTCAGGAGCCCACTTCTATGGAACACCAAAGAGGAAGATCTACATAGAGTTGCCTGAGACGAAGAGCAAAGACGGGCAAAGCTGTGGACTTCTCGTGAAGTCTATGCACGGCACGCAAGACGCCCCGAACATCTGGCAGACGCGGTATACGGACCGTGACACCTTGCAGAAGGCCGGGTTCTGTAGAGGAGTCTCAAACGCGTCAGTTTTCTTCCATGAGGACTGGGATGCCCGAGTGATGGTTCAAGGTGATGACCTCCTAGCGTTGGGAGACGCAACTCACCTGGACAAGCTTGCGAAGGTTCTCGGTGAGGCCTATGAGCTGAAATGTCTCGGTATTCTTGGAGATGAGGATGGAGATCGAAGGGAAGCCCTGACGCAGTCTTGAACACAACTGAAGTGGAGATGAGTATAAAGATCGAAGCAAAGCCCATTTCCTGAATCAGTTGATCCGCATCGACGAAAAGAATGGCAGAAGCTCAGTTGTGATCGAAGCTGATCGACGGCGCGTGGACCTCCTGCTTGGGGAGTCACCTGACAACAAGAAATCCTCGGACCAGCAGGTGCTGATCCCGAAGTCCCGAAGCCCACACTTGGACGAGAGTGACGCATCGTGCAAGATCGCCTGGACATAGGACACGCTGTGAAGTGGAGAATCTCGCCAGAGGGATGGTGACCTGAGGCGAAGTTGGCAGGCCTGGAGAGGCTGATCCGCTACCTTAAGCGGTATCCGGATGTGGCACAAGTCTTCAGTTCTCAGCAAACGCCGACGAAACGGCGGATGCAAGTAGATGCAGACCATGGCGGTGATGCTGTCACAAGGAAGAGCACCACGGGAATGGTGGCCATCTTTAGCACCCACGCGCTCAAGCGCAGCAGTAACGTCCAGTCAACAATCGGCCTTTCAACTGCCGAGACTGAATACTATGCTCTCGTAAAGGGCGGTTCAACAGGTCTGGGATTGCAGAGCCAAGGGCACTGTACAGAGGGTTGGACTTGGCAAGGCACGCCATATCCAAACGAGGTACTAAGAGAGAATAGGTGAGAAGCACCTCAAACTTGTCCATGTTCCTGGAAAGAAGAACAACGCTGACTCTGACGTTCAGTCCCTGGAGTACAGCGCCGAAAGACGGTGGAAGATCTCCAAGGCCAACTAGACATCCTCGAATGAGGCCCTGGCCAGGCTCCACTACCATGTTCAGGACAAGCGGCATTGAGTGCAGTGGGAGAGAAGAGGCTTCACTTCGTTTGTATAGTTTGCGCAGGGCTAAGCTCTTTGCAAAAGGAGGAGTGTCGAAATGTATAGCCCATATATACTCTGCTTGCACAGTTCTGACTAAGGGTTTCATGTATGCTTTGGCTCAAGGAGAAATGGACGCTCCGTAGCATCAATATCATTTTTTGAAAGGGGCTACTAGCAATAGGAAGAAGTTGTTATATACATATGGATGCAAGATACACGCTTCTTCAAGGAAATTCCCCCCGCCTGAGATTTGGTTCCCAAAGCTGTTGAGTTTCTTTTAATGGTCGAGCGAGAGAGCAACATCTGTTTACAGACGAAGCCTATCTCCAGTAAGAAACCCTACACTTGTGACAGTGGGTTCTGTCGAAACAAGTATATATTGTACATAAGTGGGGAGGCAGGCTACACCCAGAACATAGTGACCTTTTTTGTGGGTCAAAACCCTGGTGCCCTTTTTGCAAGGTGACTGCCACTGTTGTCGTAGTCGGTTTTGCGAACAATAACGCCTGGGTTTTGTTTGATCCACTGTAGTTTGACCTGCACCCCGAAACCGATTCCTTAAAGCAGAAATGCGCACAGCTGCAGTGTGTTTTGCCGACCTAATCAGGGATTCACAGTCTTCAAGTCTTCAAGCATGTTCAAGCCAAAGAATTGGTTTCCTAGACTGAACGAGGTTGTGATATGTTGTGATCACAATCGTTACAAAATGAATCAAAATGATATGTGTAATCATCAACTATAATCCACTGAGCTAATGTAGCTGACAAGCTGCATGAGGCACTAGGCCCATCAGGATTCCAGTGCCGTCAGGGCGATCCAGATATGACGGAAGAAGAGCGTGCACAGCATGAGCTTGACCTTGAAGACCGCAGAGTAACGAAGCAGTCTCCAAGGTTCGCCTCAACAGTGTGTGTGTGTGTGTTGGACCGGAGGTTGGACAGCTGTCCAATCGGGATGTCCTTAATGAGTGTTTGCCAAAAAAGAAGTTAGTTCGGCCTTTTTTCAGTGCCAGCTGAGGTGTGTATTGTGACCAGTCCTAACGAAGCCAAAACGGCAAGCCTGAATTACGGCCTAAATCCTGTTTTCAAGCTGGTTACTTCCAAGGGTTGGATACCCAGTTTTGTTCAAGTGAATTGGGGAGCGCACTAGAGTATCACATTGGTGACGAATTCGAAGAAGGATGCGGTGCGGACGCTTTTTGGACAGTCTCCACAAATGGGCCCCTCTCGTCCTGCCATTCCTGACAGATGGTGCGAAAACTATTTGGAGCTTGTCCACCAGCAGAAAGACTGGGATCCAGATACTGTTTTTGGAGAGGCCTGCAGTTTTTTGCCGCTTTGTGATTTCTGGTTTTGATGGGCGCTTAGAGTGAAGGTGCCACCCTGCGATCTGGATTCGGCAGCGCTCTGAGACATGGGCGATGTTGAAGAGGGAATCACCAATGCATCACCAAGTCTGAAGTTCAGGTGTTCCCAGATGCACTCTATATGGAGCTGAACTTGCAGCGCACGTACAAAAAGCGTAGAGGGTGGCAGCCTCAAAAGCAGTACGTGTTTGATGCTACAACAGTCAATAGTGTTTTATAACAGTCCACGGGGGTGAGGCCCAGTTGAGACGGGTCTTGACCAAAAGCAGTGACGGTAGGTCTTCAGCAAATTGGAAAAAAGACCAGCTGAAGCCCGATGAAATGGCGAACTACAAGAGAAAGCTTGGTCTGAAAAAGGCAGCTGGTGGAGTGAGTTGACGGGTTGTCCATAGGCAAGGGTTCTCCTCTAAAGCTGCAGTTTGGGTGTTGGGTTACTTCAGTATTTTCAATGTTTTTTATGTTAAAATCTATACTGTGCACGGCACGGCCTTGTTTTGAGACTTGAGACTTGATGGATGGCTGGGGCCAACTTTATTGTGATTCATGGCTGCCTATGGGACCCTGAAAGGCAATGTTGCAGCGCCCCTGTGTGGCTTACTCCCAAGACCTTCGACCTTGCGAAGCCCCCTTAAGCCCCCCTTAAGCCCTCCCTTAAGCTCCCCCTTAAGCCCCCCCTTTGCTTCCCTTGTGACCAAACGTTGACCTGGACCTTGTCAGCTCGTTCACCGAGCTCCGCTACCACCTGAAAAACCTACTACCTCAAGTAGATTTCAAACGTCCTAAACACAAAGCAAAAGCACGTGCAACAGCTCACAAGCAACTTGAAAGCACTCGCACACCTTTTACGCGCACTCTCTGGCCTTGAGCCAAAGTAAAGTACAAAAGGCTGTGAGGTATTCCTGCATACAAGCTGTTCCCATGCGAGACACTGAAAGTGTCGAGCTTAAACGCACTCGAACATGCACAAAACTGTTCAAGAAACATTCAAACTACAAAAGCTACAAAGACTTCTGTCACAAAGCTTCCAAACATTGCACATTCCATGAGCTTTGCTCTCCAAACACTTTGAAACACAAGGTTCCGGTAAGGAACGCTTGCACAAACTCCGAAAGCACAAAACCTCAGCATAGTGCCAGGAGTAGCCTTGTGCCATACCACATGCTGGGGCATTTGGCAAAGGGCTTTTGAAAAGGAATAGTCTGTCATGCGATGTGGGCCACAGCAACAACAAGCAAAAGAAGTCACAATGGTTTTTTGGAGCTCATATGTCTATATCATGCAATCCGTTTGACCATTCACCGCAATTATAGTGTCTTACAGGTCACTCACAAAAGGATAACACAAAAACCCACTCCTACAAGGTTGTCCTTCTAACATCGCAGCGCACCTTCTTTTTAACATGGTGGGTAAACGGGGGTGGTAACTTAAAGCTTTGTGGGGACAGACCTGCCTTAACATACATGATGCCCCATTGAACAAAGTCCTATTCCGCAACTCTTCATTCTTCTGAAACTTTTATTCCGCAACTATTTGGTACTCTTCCGCAACTACTCTTCAGAAATTATTCTTCAGAAACTATGTTGCGCTCTTCAGAAACTATGTTGCGATCTTCAGAAACTATTTTGCGATCTTCAGAACTATTTCACGATCTTAAGAAACTATTTGGCGATCTTCAGAAGCTAATGGCGATCTTCAGAAACTATTTGGCGATCTTCAGGAACTATTTCACGATTCTTCAGAAACTATATTTCGCGATCTTCAGAAACTATTTTATTTGGCGATCTTCAGAAACTATTTCGCGACCCTTTACAATTTTGCACCTTGTGATGGCTACGGTATATACATGCCTTGCGATTTGCAGAAACTTGTTCATGTAATTTGATGTTGCTCTTCGACTCTTCGACTCTTCGTAGTTTCTGAACATTACGTAGTTTCTGAAGAAAACCGGAAAGTTTCCGAAGAGTAGTTTCGAAGAAAACCTTCAATGTCCGAAGATCACCTTTGAGTTGCCGAAGATTAGTTTCCACTGAAAAGTTTCGGAAGAAAACCGCAAAGTTTCCGAAGAAAACCGTTTAGTTTCCGAAGGATAGTTTCCGAAGAAAGCCAAGTTTCCGAAGATCACCTTTTAGTTTCCGAATAAAACTTTGACCATGCCCCATTGGGCTCTAGGAAGGCCTGACCCCCCGATCGCCCACGCACGACACCCTCTCCCATGCACAGGGCGGGTTGGGTGGGACAAAACACCCACACAGGTGTCACTGGAGTACCACAACTCCACCTAACAGACACGACCCAGGGGTCTTCACTCACTGACGAACTTAAAACAAAGCATCAAGGAGTGAACATGTTCGTGACCGGTCGCCACTCCCTACTGCAAGAAACTATAAACTGCTATTAAGTTCCTCAACGGATCCATTTCCTTTTGCAAGTTGGCAAATCAATCCCCGATGCTTAGCACATGCTTTCGCCCTCCGAGATTCGCGAACTTGGCATGAAGAATGTCCAGATTCGGAATGGTCAACGTCATTACCATCATATATACACAGCTTGGCCTGCCAGGCCTTTGTGCCGGAGACAGATGCCTCTTTGCTGATGGAGCAAGGTGTGGCAAACCAGACACATTTGGTCATGGGTTGTTCATGTCTCCTGACTCCAGTTGTAAGCTTGAAATACACGCTCAAATCGAATCTCCTAAATGAAAACGTTCAATGGGCCAGCAACGGTCAAATCCAAGCACAAAACAGGAGCAATTGTCTCTGAAAGTCATCAGCACGAAGCGTTCATTAAGATTCATAAAGCACAAAAGCGAACCAAACCAGCATGCTTTCTACCACGCTATCCTTCTCCAGATGTCATGAGGTGCCCCTTTGGATTCTCGCGACCCAATCTTTGTTTGCACCAGACCTCGCATATGTTTTTTTGAAAAGCAATATTTTCCCGGCTGCTTTTTCACCCTACTGTGAGCAACCAGCTTACAGTAGGAAGTAACAGAAGCGTAGCTCAGCCTGCGAACTTTTCAGAACCAGCACAATGTTCGGCTATGTGACATGTGTTGGCCACTATGCAAATGAGATCTAATAAGTACAGCGAGTTCAGAGTGTATAGATGGCAACATGTTTTGCGACGGATTTGTGAATCACTTGCTTTTGCCTCTTTTGTCTGAGTATGGGGTACAGTGGTTGCAGCGCTTCAGGCGAGATGAGGCGCTTGAACAAGACAGCCACGGACAAACCTTCAAAGAGTAGAAAGAGTAAGAACAAGCGGCAAGGGGAAGTACCAGCGATATGCCAGTTTGAATGATTCCTTCATATCATTGATTGCGACGCATCAAGAGCACTATATGGCTTTAATGTTAGAGAGGTACTAGCAAGTCCTGAAGTGTCGCATTGCTGAACAGCCACAAATTTCAATCATGTTGCGATCTTTTGTGGACATCATTCCTCTCCAAGAGGCACATTGAGTGAGGTTGGTTTGAGAGAGATAATATGCAAACAGGTGCAAGCAATCTCAGCACTGCGGAGGTGTACCCATAGCAAGTTTGCAGAATGTTGGCGTGTGTTTGTGTGTATGACGGTGACGTGGATTTGGAATCTGGATAGTTCTGGCTCACCATGCAGGGCATCAGCAAGCGCAAGTGCAGCTGCTGAATAGTCTGCTGAATATGTGTTTACTCTTCTTGCAACAGATAGGGTGATGAAGGGCGCATTGGACGCACATCCTTGGCTTTGGCAGACCAGTTTCTGTGATCAAGCAACATGGAGCATAATTGCTCACATAGAGGATCATAGAGGCATGTGAATGTACAGCCCGTTTGCCGCTCTCGTTGGCAGAATGTCAAGCGGCATGAGGCATGAACAGCTGCACAAAAAGCAGCTAGAGAATATGTAACGCGTAATTTGCGCAATTCGAGGTGTTGTTTTTTAGACTCTGTGGAGGGTTGTCGACGCGACTTCTTTGATGAAGTGAATTAAATAGATTTGACCACAAAATGTGATGCCAGTGAGAACCCTCCACTGCTTCTGAGCACCGTGAAATAGAATTAGCTGCAAGTGTCACGCGGAGTTTTCCCGCAAATGTCAAAAGCCCGCAGTCCAACCAGCTCAATTACTGTAAAGAGAGTGATTTTGCGATTTGTCCTTCAGGTTGTGTTTGGAACTTATGAAAAATACGGGTTGGCTTGAGACAATTGGCCGCTGGAAGCTAGCTGGAAGACTTTGCCGATGTCGCTGGAAGCAAGAATGTAATTTGATGTCATTTGGACATTTGCCAATTCAAGGTAAGCAAAACTGTCGCTGGAACCTTCCCCACGCTTGTGGCAGACAATATTTGCTTCAGGATTTTGTGTGTTTGCAATGTTGGAAGCGGGGCTGTGCAAGTCAACAATTGCTGGAGATATGAGGTGAAGTTGGTTTAAGGACCTTAGGTGGCTACGGTGTATAACGATATTAAAAAGTTTATTTAATGATTTGGAATAAAGGATTCTAACATTTTCAATATTTATGAAGAAGATATTAAAAATTCAGAAGGGGGGGTAAAAATTATATTGAATGATTTTAATATTTATGAGAAAAGATTCGATAGGAATTATTAATTTGATGAGATTTAATTTTGGGAGCAAAAGATTTGACATTATGTATTATAAGGAAATTGAAAATAAAAGGAGATGATTTCGAACGATTATTTGAAAATGAATTAATTGATTAATTAAATTAGTTTTTTGTACATTTATTTTAAGAGTGTGGTAAATTAAATGGATTGTGAAATTGTTATGTTAATTAATTAATTAATTATGTGTTGGTTTTTATTTGTGTATTATATTGTTTTTTCCGTTGGATGATTTGGAAAAAAAAATATATGAAATATTTACGTTGAGATTGGATTTATTTTTATTCGGATTTATGAAATATTTATATATTTAATATTTGATTGAATTGATACTTATATGAATATAATATAGGTTGATTATTTTTTGTTTATTTATTTGTATATTAAATATATTATTAATTTATATTATATATGAATAAAGAGCTTTTAATAATTTTTTTAAATTTAATAAAGATAGAAAATAATGAAAAATTAAAGATAGTAATAAAAGCTAGTCTAATATATATGGGAGCATTTTGAATTCCGATTATTAATTAATTATACATTTATTTTAAGTAATAATAACAAATAATTCTTTTACGGAATTATAAAATAGAAATACGATTACGAGAAGTACCGATATATTAAGAAGAATGATAAATTAGTCTTTTCGATACGCGATATTTATTTTTATAGCTAAATAATGAAAAAACCGTAGAAAACTAAAGTAATAAATTCTAAAAAATGTTGAAACAAATTATATTAAACCTTGAAATAATTTAAATTATCCTAATTTTATTAATTAAGATGCAATTAAAATATGCAAAGCTAACCAAATATATGGAGAGAAGGTAAAAATAAAATAAATTAATAATTAACAAACAATGCTATAGCACCTTAACAAAACGGAACTCTGTCTACATTATCATTGCGTTGTGTTATGGTTGATATGGTGCAACTCGTTCTGACGCTATTGATTGATTTGGTCGATCCAGTCTTGACCCAAGGTTATGCCATTCTTACGTTCTATCTTTGCAAATTCCATTGCCTTTTTCATCTATTTTCGATCGGCCCGTCCTTTGTTTAAAATTTCCCGGCTTATTTTTTTTAATTAATCGTTTAGATTAAGGAGTTACAGATGTAGAAATATAGAGTCCTATATCTATTTATTGATACATTAAACAATTGAAATTATAAATAATATAGATTTGATATTATTGATAATTGTTTTATCTTTTAATGAATTATATAAATATATGAATCCATATTCGATGATTAATGATTGATGCTTTGCTTTTGCTCCTTGTGTCGTTAGCTCATGGATGAGAGTATGGGCAAGGTTGCAAGTGGTCGGTTGGCTATTCTGGATTAATGTTTTATCCTGCTAGAGCCCCAGCACCAAAGGCATTGGTAGCCCCGTGAGCTTCGCGCGCACTGGGTGTCTCAGGCGGGATGAATCGGGAAGGAACTCGCAGTTGGTCGTTGGGTAAGAAGCCGCATGATCCGTGGAGGCTTATATGGACCTCCTTCCTGGAAGCGCCTTTGTCGATGCACTTTCATGGCCTGAGTGCCTTCGCTGAAAGTGTTGCAAGCCACGCCCAGGATCGAGAGTGCCCACCATGGCCGTCCGTATTCGTCAAAGTGGTGAAGGTGATTAAGTCCCAGGTCGAGTGGGTTTGTTCTTTCTTTTCGGGGTAGCCTTTCCACCACTCTCTGTAGCCAGGCTAAAATTCTCATCCATGGCGGTTGGTTTGTTGTGGCTGCGCTTTTGCTTGTGCTGTGTCTTGCTGGTTTCTGTTGTGATGTGGTGTGTGTGTGTGTTTGTTTGTTTGTTTGTTTGTTTGTTTGTTTGTTTGCTTGTTTGTTTGTTTGTTTGTTTGTTTGTGTGTGTGTTTGTTTGTGTGTTTGTTTGTGTGTTTGTTTGTGTGTGTGTGTGTTTGTTTGTGTGTTTGTTTGTGTGTTTGTTTGTGTGTGTGTTTGTGTGTTTGTTTGTTTGTTTGTTTGTTTGTTTATTTGTTTGTTTTTTGTGTGTTTGTTTGTGTGTTTGTTTGTGTGTTTGTTTGTGTGTTTGTTTGTGCGTGTTTGTTTGTGTGTTTTTGTTTGTGTGTGTGTGTGTGTTTGTTTGTGTGTGTGTGTGTTTGTTTGTGTGTGTGTTTGTTTGTGTGTGTGTGTTTGTTTGTATGTTTGTTTGTTTTTGTTTGTTTGTTGGGTGTTTGTTTGTTTGTTTGTTTGTTTGTTTGTGTGTGTGTTTGTTTGTGTGTGTTTGTTTGTTTGTTTGTTGGTTGGTTTTGGGTCTCGGTCTTGCTTGGTCTTTGTGCTGGGGGGTAGAGGATTTGGATTTTGGATATATGGTTTAGGGATGCATATTGTTGATTAGGGTTTTATCGATGCATATATTTTGATTGGGGGTTTATCGATGCATATATTTGATTGGAATTTTATCGATATATATTTTTTTTTTTGATTAGGATTTTTTGATACATATGTTTTATTGATGTTTATTGATGCATATATTTGATTAGGATCTATTATTGATGCATATATTTGATTAGGGTTTGTTGGTGTATATATTTGCTTAGGGTTTGTTGATGTATATGTTTGATTAGGGTATTTCTTGGTAAATGCATTTGGTTAGGGTTTTGTCGCCCCATGTATTTGGTTAGGGTTTTGTCGGTCCATGCATTTGGGGGTTTAGGGTTTAGGGATTTAGGGATTTAGGGATTTATAGGGTTTAGGGTTTAGGGTGTTTACAGTGCCGCGGCGGCGCCTCCCCAAGATA